GGCCTCCAGCAACAGGCAGGAGAGGTCACGGAGCACGGCAGCCAGTGAGGAAAAAGTTCAAACGGTGGGATTCACGTAGTTTTCTGCACGGCGTTCATTCAGTGCGTCTCCAGGACCACACCGCACCACGGCGGGCCCTGCCCACTCTGCCCCGTGGGGCAGCGCGTGTCCCACACGAGGGCTGCGTGTTTCAACACTGCTGATCCTCTCAGGTATTTGGGCTAATCCCCTCTCTTTCCCCACATCTCCGTTCCCCCCCGCGTGATGGGATTAATCCCCCAGCCATGCAGGCAGTTTGCGGGGCTACCTGAGCCACAGGACCCAAGATGGGGGGGGGGGGGCTAATTCTCTCCCCCCTCTCCAAAGTCCGATCAATCCCTCCTGACACTAAGCCCACCTCTCTCCCTGTAATCAGCCTTGTTAATTCCCATTGTGCACATGACTGGCTGTGAGGATCAATGAATTATTTATGGCCGACTACCTTAACTCCTGTTACCATTCTTTTCTCCTCATGCAATGTTACCGCTGCAAAGCAAACGAGAGTTTCAGAGCAGCAGGCAGCACATTCCCACGTCGGCCACAATCGAAGCTGTGGTGATACACTTTCCAAAACGACGCTCTTGGCTGGTCATTCAGCTGTAGTGACCCTCGGACTGCTTACACCCCTTCATGTGCTTCCTGGGTCAAGTATAAAAGAAGATGGCAAACCCACCTTCGGATCACAGCAGCACAGTGCAACTATAAAACAATTCTGATTGAAACGAGTTGATATTTCTCACCTAGAGGGCTGTCATTTCTTTAGATGCTACTCAAGAGCGATGGACGTCTCGACAGCATTCCCCTGCAAAACTGAGCTGGCTGCACCCCCTTTTTGAACCGTCACTCGTTTGAAATACGTGCTTCGCAGTCTGCATTCTTCCACATGATCAGCCTACATGCGACCCACTCCAAGCAAGTGATCCATGCGCTACCGGTTTAGTAGAAACAGCCACTGGCCACAACAGGGCCAACGAAGGGAAGATGCTATTGAGTTTCACCCACCTGTCCAGCCACTGTCAGAAAGCTGGGTATTTGGGGGAAAATGCATAGCAACCCAGAGCCTACCCAGGTGATGAAAATGAGGCAGGACTATAGCTCGGACACCAGTCCAGAGCAAGGCACAGACAAGCACACGGGGACAACATAAGCACACTCATTAAGCTAGCCAGCATATATTGATAGGATGGGAGGAAGCTGGAGCAATTAAAAAAAAAAAATCATGGAGACAAGGAACCATGCAGACTCCTCCCAGAATGTGCCCCAGTCCAGAATCAGCTACACAAGGGCTAAGAGCTGCAAGACCCCAGTGTTACCCACCTCATGGGATCAATCACTCAATATTAGATTCTAACCTTTCAGAGAGCTTTGCACAGGTACAATTCAGATTTCAAGAATTATTCCAGAAGGACGTAATGAATGTCATTGGGGAAGTGGTGCCAGGCTTTAGGGCTGCAGCAGTACAACGTTCTTCAGCCAAACGTTTTGATGAACAATGCAAATGAAGATTCAGATTCAGTTCGAGTCTGGAAGGGCAGCACGAGTACACAGGCCCAGTCCTTGACAATACCAATCCAGTAAGTGTCCTGAGGCACCATAAATTGCTCATTTTAAAAGGTTAGAAACACTTGAAAATTTCCGATCAACCAAGGGAGTAACTTGTTCAATTAAAGCAAGTCCCACAGAACGCCAGAACACCAGACCTACAGGTTTTATATGCCCGTATTGGATTATAGCTTTTCAATCATTAATATCCAGCATCAGTTTAACAAGCAGTACATTCACCACTACAGGTAATTTAGAGATCATTGGGAACAAAAATCAGAAAATCCTTCAGCCTTAAGCAACTATTACTTGCATAGTTGATCAGTTGCATAGTGTTCATTAATGAACAAGTGATGTAGGGTGAGGAACTGGATTGGGGCTCTCCATGACCAGGGTGGGTGACACCCAGGTTGTGGTAGCTAATAACCAATGTATTTCCTGCAGAATTGTCCTAAGCTCAGAGAAAGCCTCCTGGACTGATGCTCTTCAGGAACGTTGGTGGAGGCGCCTGAACAGAAGCAGCTTTATAAAAACAAATCTGACCCCTTTGAATGCGTTATTGTGGCCTGCTGGCAGGCGTGGTCCAAGCTGATAGAGTGCCTGACTTCCTTGCTAATTCCCTTCAACTCCATCACCCGGGGCCCGTGTGCTCACAGCGTCAGGTTGACACAGCAGGTCACGACCCCAACAAGTGCCTCTTGACCTCGGCTGCTAGCAGGTCAGGCCCTGTAGATTAGCACAGCTCCAGCGATGAGCCGGTCGCTTAACCTTTGTGTGGCCGTCCTCAGCTGCAGAAAAATGCACAGCAACTTCATCACTCCGAATACCCTCCTCGGGCTGACCAATCGGAGCAAGGCGCCACCTTTTTATTGACACGCAGCGGTAATTGGCAAGCTGGATCGGATCTGTCCTTCGTCTGTTTTCTCAGGACCCAGATGCAACGAACAATAGCAATCACGAGCTTAGAGCAGCAAGAACAGACGCAGGTAGTATTCAGAGCTGAAGAGTCTTTCAAACTCGCTTTGCCCACGAGAGAAACAAAACCGCATGCATCTCGTGAGAAAATGTTGACATAAAAATTACACTGCACATTTCGACACAATTTCATAAAGATATTTCTTTCCGTTCCGCGAAATAACGTCTCCAGAAATTCGGAAACGGTCATTCATCTCTTTCCTTGGCGATTGCGTCTGGAAAAACTTAGGAACTGTGATAAAGGTTCATGGTGATTTTCTGGAATGTTAAATACGCGACATATTACACTTGTGTATTGTTATAATTTGAAAGACTTTTCCTCGAGTAGAGATTGGGGGAAAAAATTGAGTAAGAAGAATATTGACAACCAAGAATGAAATATGTTCATAAGGTCAGGGTTTGCTCAAGTAATTCCTAAGATTCGAAAAACAATGTTAAAAATTCAAAGCCTCGTCATTACAAGATCATGAGCTCTGCATTTACATAGTTTTCCATATAAATTGCCTTTGTTTCGTTTGTTTAAACATTTTTGATAAAACATTGAATATATAACAATGTTAATAACGATTTGTTTGGAGAGCATCGGTACTTCCAAGTGAGGGAAAGACGTTTTCAAAGCCTAGGCGCTCCGATATCCCGCCAGTGGATGATCTTAAAAGTGATTTTTGCCCCTTCAAAGGATAATGATCAGCAACTGCCCATCCTGACACGCTTATCAATACCTTCCCGTTACTACAGAACAAACTTCCGTCCCAGCAGCCTGTGCGATTTCTGCAGGCTCTACAGTTTTGGGGGGGTCAGCTTTAATTTATTTTACTTTGAAGTTCGTGGTTTTGTGTCGTTTTAGTTCATATGTACAGTTCACCAGCTTGGACTCCCACGCAAACAAAGACAGCGATGCCTCACAGAAAACGTCGACAGAACGAGAAAAATAAATAAATTACAGCGATTTGTACTCATGGCCGAATAGTTCCTTACTAACGCGTGTTGCAATGGATTGGTAGGGACTTTAAAAGAAAATACACAAAAATTCTTGAACGCTTCCACCGAATTAGCGTCGCACAGAATTCAAGTATGACTGACGAGAACAGAAACGTCCGAGGCACGGTTGCCGATTTAAAAATGGCAAGGCACAAGTGAA